TACATTTTTAATTTTTACATTCACGAAAATTTTATCAGAGTAGGGAAGAGGACTAAGTTTTGTTTGTTTGTCCATCAGGTATATTATCGAAGAATATTAAATAAATTATACAAAAAAATTCGTCGATACATTGAGTTGAGATGTCGCATGAAACACACTTTTATACATTTCCTACAAAACTGTTCCTCGACTCTAATGCTTATAAATAGAATTTCTTGTTTTTTACCCAGTCATCATTGCTGTTGGGGACGGTCCAGAATAACATTGCAGTAGAGTATTAAACGAATATATATTTTTTTAATTTGTCTGCTCTTTTTTGTTATCCTTTACGCTTAATAATATTAATACTTTTTTGTCAATACCATAGAGAAATAAAACTTGTATTTGTCAAATTGAGCATGCATAGATTGGCGGTCTTATCTGTAATGGATAGAGAGGATTGAATGATAGCTATGATGTTAATGATATACTCAATTAGTCCATAAGTATTATCCAATCATTAATACCAATATCATAAAGAAGTAAAGTTTCACAACAGTTCCGAGATACATCCTGATGACAGTGAGTGTTCGAATTCACGTCAAGTCGTGAAGAAATTCTATTGCTTCCATTTTTGTATAAAAATACAAAATAAAATTATAATTCTATTTCTATGTTATTTCGAAACTCACTTCACTTATGCCATGAAATATTATAACCGATCCAAGATTGAGCAGATGCAGCTTTCTGAAGTAAATTGGGATACCTAAGTGAATTCGAATTCGGGTTTTGATTTTTACAGAATTGCAGGGCTGTATAGCTAAATAAATATATCTTTATTAAGTAAATGCATTACACAAAAGAAATATTGCTTTACAAGTTAAAAAGATTTTGCAAGTCGAGAATTCGAGATATTACAGTGCTATCAAAGATTATATAACGTGAGGTGTGAGGATAAACGATTATTTTAAATTAGCAATAATAACTGATTTCAAATATGTAAAAAAATAACGATAGAGGCTTCGAAATAAAAACGTAACGCCGAATAAAAAAAGAAATACAACTGTTGACTTAAAACTAACAAAAATCGACAGTCATATATCGCCAAATTTTAAACATAGTGCACTGTTATCGAAATTCCAACATAATAAGAAATGATATACAAAAACTAAGTATTTGCAAGAGTGGTTTATATTTTAATTACACACATACAATACTTCACACATACAAAAATACCAGATTCAAACTCGACTGATAGTTTGGGAGTAAATCAGTTGTGATAAACGGATGGCTCATATTAAGATTTTTTACCTTCGGAGGTACTTAATCTTTATATGTTGCAAAACGCTTTTTGTATCAGATAAAATTAATACACACAGGATACTTGACAATAAGAATTAATTAGAGCAATAAAATAATGATAATACACACAACAATATACTAAATATTGGATGAAACTGTGTCTCACGACTGTATAACAGGTGACTCCAATCGTAGACACACTGTCAGTCTACGTTTTTAGTACAACTGGGCCTGGGATATGGCTATATTTTATATTATTAATATCTAATACATTTTAATTCCATTCCGCACGCGTTATAGTTTATCGGAAACTAACCGATTATTAAGCTTAATAATAGATAATAGCTTATCTAATTCATAAGAAATGACTTAACTCGGATTTATAAAAGAGTCACCTTTTCATTTTCTTTTTTATCGTGTTATTGGGTAGGTAGTTATTATTTCTTTAATTCGATGGTTGCCTCTTATCTTATTTTTTTACTTGTTTCAAATAAACTGTTATTGCCGTATTGCGTTCTTCAATAAATTGTTGAAAGCAATAACTTTTTCTTGGTGATATAATTAGCAATTTTATAGTCGTAACTTCAGTATGGACAATTCAAAATTTGTCCTAAACCGTTGTAACCAATTATTTTCCAGTTTCCAGTTATTTTTGCTTTATTTATTAAATAAAATAATTGATCCGATTATGATAAAATTTTAAGATAACATACCGAAAAAAACAATAAAAACGGTATAATATAACGTAGGACAGGCAAAGAAAAAAAATAAAAACGGTATAATATAACTTAGTACATACAAAGAATATATCATTAAATTGAATGAAAACCTCCTTATTAGAAGTTCGTTAAAATATTTTACTGTTTGAGGGAGCAAGACCAACCAATTACTAAACGACCTTAATTAATAATAGGGGTTAAAGTACGAAATTGCCGATTTGTACTGAAAATCAAAATTGTTTATTTTTTAATTTTTAACAAATTTATTTCCAGCCTGTTGTACAAACGCCCATTAAAATTTTCATTAGTTTAATTTGACATTTATTAGAGCTTAAAGGCGTCATTAAACCTTAATGGACGTTCGTGTAACTAACCGTTAATCAAAATACTCGTAGTCACCATTATTATCTATACATTGCTGCCATCTAATAGGAAGGTCATTTATATCTTTTCGATAGAACTCTGAGGATCTAGAATGCACACACTGTGTGAAATCATTTTGTACTGCCTCCAGGGAAGAAAACTTCTTGTCACGCAGATAATTGTCCAAATCACGAAAAAAATGGTAGTCCGTTGGAGCAGTCTGGCGAATATGGAGGATAACGAATGGTTTCTAACTGCAGTTCCTGAAGGGTCAAAACCGTTTCTGGTGTATAAAGTAAGAACATCATAGAAACCATGTGAAAAGAGTTTCTTTCGAAAACCTCAAACCATAAAGATTCTATGTCAATTCAAGGAACCTAGTACAATAAAACGGCAATTTCATACTTTAACCCCTAATAGTAGAATGTTTATTAAATAACTTAATCGTTTAAGTTTAAGCTATATAATTAACCAAAATTGTATCTTCCATAGAAAAAATATACTAATAACAAATAAAAAGTATAGAGTATAACTAGACTAATAAGGTTTTTTTGGTGAGAAAAGTAGGGAAATTGAGACTGAAGTGTAAAAAAAATGAAGACAAACGGATAATATTTCCGTACCTATGTAATTATAAACTTATGGATACGGATGCTTATTTAATCGACTTCAAAATCGAAAAGGAGGAGGTTATATATTCGACGGCGATGTTCACTGATATTATCGCCAATTGATGACCGATTTTCAAATTTTTTTTTATTTAACAGCGTAATCGACCGTTATGGTCCCAATTAAATTTTGTCGAAATCGAATCGTTTTTGGGCTTATCCAATCAAACAAACAAGCAATCGAGGCTTTCCATCGAGTATAGATTATTGGAAAAAATCTAAGTATTTATATCTTCACGCCGTAACCCTGTCTTTGCTTTTTAATATCGACATAATTTTGGTCCTTAAATAAAAAAAAATATCTCAAGTAAATAAAAAAAATCTCCTTTTCTTTCACTATGTTGAATATTTTTATATAGATATTTAATATTATTAGTGTTAACTATTATATGAAAATATATTAATATCACTAAAAAGTATTCTTTTTTTATCTTTGAAAACCAACAGCTAATCACACAAAATAGACTATGACATAACAAACAATAAGCCAATTATAGGTTGCCACATATAGATTATAGGTTTCCACACATATCAATATAAAAACTTTTTTCATAAAACAGAACCGCTTGAGCAACTTTAAAAAGTGATAAATAACTTATCTTAAAAGCGACTAAACTTCTTGAATAAGTCGCTGTGGCTTATTCAAGAAAATGCTATTGAAGTAGGGTTCTATCATTTAATTAAAAACCTACAGAAAACTTCCGCCCGACATCAATATCGTTTTTGCTATTGATATCTGTATTTTTTATTACTTTTAAAAGTTTTAAACCCGTTCTATTTTTAGAAAAAAGTTTTCCTGTTTCACAGAATAAACAAAAATAAAAGATAATTAAAAAAAATGAATTTACAAAAAAATACTGAACTACATTATAAAATTATGTAATTTAAGAAAGAACTATTAAATTCCATATAAATTTCAATCTAAACGTTCCTATGCTCAACTAAATCTGCCATTGTATTTCTACTGAAAAAAGCTTTTATATCTACGAAAAGATAATTAGTTTTCTCTAACTCATTTTTGCTCTGCAATAAATACGTTTCTATTATATCCATTTGTTCTGTTCTTTTATATATAACTTATGAAATATGCTTATCGAATATTATGTTTTACTACATACTGAATGCAATAAAACGATTTTTTTTACCCGCCGGATATCAAACTCATGGCTATTAATGAAAGAAAAGAGATTAATCTTAGTTTTATATTAATAAAAGACAACAATACGACCTTTCGTGAACTGTTATATAATTTAACGACAATGACTTCAGAATTTAATAAGCGCCGTAGGCAGTAGAAAACTGCAACGGATTCATATAGAAATATTAATACCGTTTTCAGTACGTTTTTTATTTTTAAGGGCAGTTTTTTGATGATATTATTATGTGAGGCGTGTTAAGTTTTGAAATTAAGTAATTTTATATTCATTTTAAAATTGCGAAAGTTAAATATGTAAGAAAATTTTATCAAATCCTTATCGCCCTTCTTCAAAATTATATGTTTATTTTAGTTTTATTGAAATGACCGCGTTGAGTTAAAAAAAGAGCTTAACAAATTATTAATTATATTGAAATAATTATCTATAAAAGTTTCATAAACAATTTGAATTGTCATTGAATCCATTCATAAAAATAAATCGTGACTTTTTTCTCTCGTTCGTAGAACAGCTCTATACAATTATAGAGTGTCCAATCACTGCACTCTACTATCAATTCGCTATAAATACAAGTAGCAGTTGTCCGTCAGTACATTACCTCACAAACGAGCTAAGGGGCCTACACCACCCCAGCGACCTAAACCAAAATTTATTAAGCTTCTGTGAAAGTTCTGGAAGGTTAGGATATTATAGATTTTGAAATTGTGATTTAGTGCCTAGTGATTTTACCTTGAGCTAATTTTTTTAATACATTTTTTTTGCCGTTAAGTGTTTATTAATTGTTACTACTGTGATTTCAGTTCGGCTGAAGAAAAATGAAGACCTTTAGGACAGTTCTGTTTTGCATTGGTAAGTACATTATTTTTAAATTCAAAAAATATTTTTCACTTCAATACTTGATCGAGGAATTCTCTTCTTATTTCGTTTATTATTATGACATTTCTAATACAAAATAAAAGCTCTTAATATTATCTAGTAAAATGACTGTGTAAGTAAAATGAATTAATATTATCAATGGACTATCCAAAAATATGTTAAATCGTAATAAATTAAAATCTATTTCATAATAATGTACATGGACGTTTTTAAAATTAATTTAATTATTTTAATAAAAATTACTCCACATTTTACATTAATAATATGAATTTGAGAAGCGTATCATACATATTAATTCCTATATAATAAAAACAGATATGTTCAAAACTAGAGTGAAAATTATTTTCTTGATGTATAAATCGTTCCCATCAAACAAATTAGTGGTCGAACGAAGGCAAAAAGTATCCTTTATCATAATATAGGCCTATTTCTACCTCAATGATAAATCTCGTAAAAATCGGTATAATTCATACGGCGTTTTCATGCGAGGAGGTGCGGTAATCGAATGCGTATAAAAGAAAAACATATCTTAATTTATTACTTAAGATACATTAAGTATATTTCGAGGTGAATCAAAATTTATGCTTAGAGTACGATAGAACAATTTTTTTAAAGATAAAACAATTTATTTAAAAAATCTAAAGTAATAATTTATTAGGTTTTGAGATAATAGCGTTTAAACATGTGTCGGAGAATTTTGTCTTTACTTTTACATTAAAAAAGAGGAAAGATTTGATTGTTTTTCCTTTGCATTGAATAGACTCCAAAATAACTGGACCGATTTAGAAATTCTGTCAACTACAGGGAGCTACATCATACGCCGGTGATATTAAAAAAGCTAGTATTATAATAAATAAAAATATTTGAAGAATGAAATACCATAGTAATTTCACAAAGTTTGTATCATCAAATAATACGGTTGTTAAACAAATATCGATTCTCTTTTTCACATTGCATGTTATAATCGGTTGAGTAATCGAGTAGCATCGATCACGCATAAGATTCGTAACATAATAATATGGTATCGTACTTATTTCGGAAGTATATTTCTTCCTTCTTTCCTCATGCAACACGTTGCATTGTAATTTTGTTAGACAACACGTTACGTTAATTTACATTGAAGAAGATTACTTTACTTTTTATTACAAATTCAATATTTTGTCCTCGTTTCAAGGATCATAATGATTTAAAATTACAAATTTAAAAACATTAATTTCGTCATTTTCAACAATAATTCAATTAAGAATCTAATTTTCTTAATCTTAAAATTATTACTATTCTCATTCTTTCTTTATTTTTTAATTTGTATTACTATTAACAAAAAGAAACTCAACTCACTTCACGTTTTCTCACGACTATCGACATGTCAGATAATTATTTTCTTCAAAAAGCTCTAAAAGAAAATATTTTTGTGTACAGGCACCCTCTCCATTGCCTCAGCGGCCCCAGCGGGACGGGACAGCTCAGCACAACCTACCGAATATGAATACGACTATGAAAGTTCTGCTCAGCAACAAGTCCAAGAACCCCAAGAGTCGGCTAGTCATTACGACGCCTACATATCAGATGTCCAGGCCGCAGCTAGCGGGGACCCGCCCAAGAAGGGCTTCAGTAGAGGCAGCGGTCTAAGAACTATAGCTGTTGGGTCAGCAAATCAAGCAAAAACAGCGCTGGGGAATCAAGCGGCTGCTGGATACCAGGCGGCTTATATGGCTAAGAATACGTTAGCACAATCGGCTGCACAAGCTAGTGCTACAGCGCAGGCGGCGCTTGCTGGTAAACAAGTTATCCTGTCGGGATTAGAGCAGCAAGTGAGAGACGCGAAGGTTGGACTACAAGGAGAGGAGATGCAGCTGCAACAGGCTAAACGGGCTGCACAGTCGGCGGCGCAGGCAGCTCAACAGGCTATGCACCAGGTGAATTTAAAATACATATAATTTTACCCAAAATTGTGGAATAATCTTACAATTACAAATACTCTGCTTTTCTTATAGTTAAAATTTCGCCATCACAAAATATTAGTTTCAACAAAAATATCAAAACAAAATTTACTTAACATAAATCTGGTGTTACAGAACCAATTTCAATATTAATTGTTGCTCAATTACATTAATTGAAACAACTTGTACTTTTGCTAAAAAAGAAAAAGTACTATCGCACGCAACACTCCACCGGTAGCCATTCAAGTTAATAATATATATAGCAAGTCATTCTTATGTTAATGACCTTATGAAATCGATAAAATGATCTACTTATTTCGCCGATAAAAAAAGCGAATTTCTTAACGTACACATTACAAAGTTTATTAAACAACAATACAGCATACGCAAGGCTGTCGAGAAAAAAAGTAACGACAATGACACAAATAAAGTTAAGTTGCATATTTAAATAGAAACTTCTTACTTTTTGCTGCAACCTCTATCTTAAAACGTAAAAGATTGAAAAATTGCAATGATCATCTTACGTAAATGTTCCAATTGGGAGTGGATGATGAAAATTTACAAAACAAATAAGAATGGGTGGAAAGATATTGGCTAGAAATAATTATTTACGTAATTAGGCCAGCCGATCTGGCTGTCGGCGAGCCGCGAAATCATTTCGATTTGTCACTTTAAAAAACTCTTTTTTTGTCACTCGTCACGACACTGAAAGTATAGTCATGAAATAGTATCATTTTACTTTTGAGTGATTTATTGTTTTTACAACTAAAAATATTTTTGAATCATTGGTTTCAGTAGGTACTTAGCACAATATGGTTTAAGAAAAACATGTTAATATTCGAGATCTTAAATCAGTATCAATTAAAGAAACAATAGTTGATGGTATTTGGAATATATTCCAATTGGCAAAGTAAAATTCCCTTTGACACAATAACGAACGTCAAAATTTCCTAATAATTGTTCTGACATTTTACTGTTTTATTTTTCAAAATGCCCGCATTTTTTTTTACTTAAAAATTATAAGATATTAAATGCTATCCGCACTTCAACGCGTAACAAAAACTATTTTTTAATAATTGCGATCTATTGTTATAAATCTATTTAACGATATTTTACAGTAACCCAATAATGCCGACTTGTAATTGTGTCAACTGTCACAGCGCAATAATTTGATGAATATTAAAAAAAAAATCAAGCACGTTTTCCATTATACGTTTGGTTAAACTTTATTAGCTACGGTCAGAGATACTAATTCGTACCAAATCGATTTTGCTCACGAATTACCAAACACTCAATTGAGTGTAGTATAAAAGTATTCGGTTCACTCTCCGTTGCACCCTTGCCAAATAGAGGTAGATTTCTATTTTTAAATTAATCACTACGCCAGAGGACGACTGCGTAGCTTAAAACTTCAGATAAAGTGTCTAGCGAGTTAAACTGCCCTGGCATCTAATGAAAGATTATTACTTATTTTTACTTGTCTTCATCTAAAATAGGGCCCCACAAAAGAACGTATTATGTTTAGGGTTTATGTTTGTACTTATGTAGATATATGAGTTTTTTATTCAACTAAACTTTCGTAGAACTTAATTTAATTGGATGGTTTCAAACATAATATCCAAGATAGCTAATAATAAATAAATAATAAAAGAAATAAAATGTAAGGTTAATACATAACAAAAAATTTTCTGTTCTGTGGTAGGCACAAAGAACTGAACGCTACAAGGCACGATCTTTATTCATATGTCGTTCGTTTCTTTTTAACCCTTTCATACATGCTAGCCACTTTTAAAAGCATCGGACATTCTGTTTTAAATTGAAATAGAAAAAATACTATCATTCAGTTGAAGGTTTAAAGTATTTTTTATTTTTTTGTTATCAGATTGAATCGGTTGTTTACAAATATCATGGTTTCTGAGTACAGTCATTTCATTGCATGAAATTACGGCAGAATCATAGGATATTTACAAAACTGTAACAATAATTTGCACAATTTAAGCTGTGACTGGATACCATGATATAATTTTAAGTTAGTTATGACATTTACGTATAGTCGAAAGAATGCGAAAGTCATAACGGTCGTAACGGCATAAATATAAATGATGGTGATGATGCGTAATGGAAATTGTATTCATTTTGACATGTAATTAGGTAGATCGATCTCTATTATTTTTAAGTTAAGCTACTAGTAACAAAATAATTAAGATAAACCTATTTATTTAACAGACTTTTTCAATATACTTAGTTTTATAATATATTTTACAGTAACTCAGTTCTATAAATTTTTTTCTAAATTAGTTTTAAATTTATTAAATGGTAAGAAGATATGATTCAAGTCTAATGTCAATGTCTCGTAACATTTAATATTGTAATAAGATACATCTCAACTGGGTTTCGGAGCAGCTTTTCCTTTCACAGCTTGCGGTTAATGTATAAATGTGTTGTGTATCTATTTACTTTTCCTTCTTTTATTACTAGACATATGCTGAGTACTCGTTCATTTTTCAGTTTTTCACACTAAAAAGATCCAAGGAAATAAATGAACTAAGGTGTTCCTATAGATATTTTAATTTTGACCTTCTCAGCCTGATGTGAAACCTTTTTGTTAAACCATTTATAGCACTTTAAACATGGATGAGATTCGGTTTAACTTCTATTAGACGCATCTATGAAAACTAAATATATTAATAATAATTTTAATAACCACAATAACAAAAGTACAGTTAAAAATCCACATATATATTTATCCGATATTTTTTTATGTTAGATACCAAAAATGATTTTGATTGCTGTCGCAAAAGGCAAAATATTTATCATAAACAAAATTACAAGCAAAATATTAAATTCCATAGGTGAATGTGATCCAAGCTGCCTTGAATGCCGCGCAAGCCACCTCAGAAAATGCCAATGAGGCAGCTTCTCAAGCGGCTGGTGAACTTGGAGCACAAACTGCCATGGTGGGCGCCGCCAGACAACGACTACACACACTCCAGGAGCAGCTCAAGGGCGTCAGGATCGACTTCGAGGCCACACAGGCTGCGGCTAGGAAGGCACAGGTACGACTTATAATAATCTCCAATTGTAACATTCTATGACGTAACCACTTTAGGACCACCACAATCTTACCAGCTTAGGACTTACAACTCTAGTTAATAAAACAGCAATATTCAAACTTTTTGAAGTGTTCTCCTTCATCTCTTGTCAAAGCTTTTATTTTCAAGATAGAAATCACCAAATCAATTAAAGACATTCTTGTTTTTCTCAAACAGGAAGCGATCAGAACGGGAAAGCTGTACTTGATCGACGATATAAAAATATCTTTATTCTTCTAAATAGACTGATGTTACTAAATATAATTTTATGAATACACAAAGTATTAAATTATTACCGTGCCTATATTATTTTTAACCAACTTAAAGAAGGTATACTTCCACGATATCTATATACTTTTTTAATAATAATGTAATACCCATAAAAGTTTTTTAATATCACCTTGTTATTATTTTTATAAATTCTACGTTTCTAAAAGTTCATTTCTGTTACAAGCTTTCCGCGTCATGGCTGTTTAGTATATGCTTTATGAAGTAGGTCAACCTTTTAAGATAAAGTTTTTTTTCAACAGGCGGCTGCTCAAGCGGCTCAAGCTAACGCAGCTGAAGCAGCGGCGAAGGCAGCAGCAGCTGGCCTCGGCGGTGGTCACAAACACGGGGACGCGTCCCACGAAGGTACGACTTATGAAGAGTACAAAGCAGCACCAGCCCCAGAACAGCAACACCCCCAACATCCTCAACAAGAATACTACATTCAGTCGGACTACCACCACTAGTAGCAATTAAGGTTTTAGGTGAAATGTTCTGAATGTCTTACCTCTTTTCAGTTTAATTCGACATAGAAAAATAAAACCTTTTTTGTATTTATTAAAGAAAAAAAAACAAAAAAGTATACGTCAACAAAAAGCTTCCCGCCAAAAGCAACTGATTGACATTACAAAGTTTGATCTATAGTTTTCTTGTTTAAGTAAACTGAAAAGGTTAAGATTTAGAACGAATTATTTTGGCTATAGCTAGAATAGGTCTTCATCTTTCCAAAAGCCCTTTTGTTTCTGTACAATATTTATTTCAATAACTTTGGAGCCTATTTTAGTTATAGTCATATTTAGGTTTATGTAAGTGTAAATACTTTTTGTTAAACTAGATATTTTTTTACTACAAACAGAATTGTTATTATTAGGTAACTTTTCTTTTTACTTAATGTTTTTTATAACTTTCTACGATACCGTTTCATTCGCCATTCTTCATTCCGTTACTTACTATTTATTCAATACATACAATATTAATACGAATGCTTACAATTTTGTATTTTGTAACTAACATTTTGTTATATTGCAGAAGTGAAAGCATAATCATTTTATAATTTACAACAGTAGTGAATTTATTAGACATAAAATAACAGAGCTTAAACAAAAATTAAGTGCGATGTCCTCTAAAGTGTGATAATCATGAACAAGATGTGTGAAGGAAAATAAAAAATGTTTTATTAATGTCTGCTTATTTTAATCAAAAGTTGACAATATGACTATTTCTGACTTTGACTTTCTTCATACTGAAGACTTGACTTGAATTTATCACTGTTACTACAAAAACTTGACTGTTATTTCCGACTCTACTTGACATCTCACTTAATTATATCATGACTTGACTAACCCCTTCACGTACAAATACCTACACGTATCCTAATAATTATTTAAAAAGCACTTCTTTCCAACTAGTACCTAAATTATCATAAAGAGATTAGATAGATTTGCAAAACATACCTACACAGTATTAACACCAATCAATAATTCACTTAATTTTGAGACTAAGTTTAAGAAGCACTATATGGAAAGGGTTGCAAAGAAGGCACTAAGCGACTGCCAATTGATAAAAATAAAAGACCAATCTAATCGTGGATACTTTGTGTCAAAAGCAGCGCTGTCACATCATAACACCTTTATTATCTTTAGTAGGTTTCATTTAATTGAAACTGTAACGCTGTGACAACACTGAGTTCGACACTGTATTTTGACAGAATATTAAGCTGACATAATAGCATTTGCATCGTATTTAAGTATACCTACATGGTAGGATCTTGAAATTTACACTAAGTATAGGCATGTCTGCATACTTTCGATTTAGATCTGATTATCAGAAAGTCAAAATTCAGTTGTCCCTTTTACACGCTTAGTTGCATTGGAATGACATTGGAGTGAAAATCAATACTACTGAATTTAGTGATTTTTTACGGATTTCGACCAAAAAAAATATTTGGCTGCTTAGAAATAATGTGCTCGCACAGATTGCGAAAGGTTATGGATTCGAATACCATCTGGAGCACCCGAGGCAGACAAATTTTTGACGTATTCTTTTATAAAAGAAATGTGTTTCATTTTTCAAAGCTACTCATACTTAGAAAATAAACTTTGATAAGAAAACAAAAGAAGTATGTTGAAGAGGTTATGTTTATATTGGATATTCAACTGGTGATTTGTTTTTGCTAAACCTATGTTGTATCAAACACTTCGTCGATCGCAGCACAAGAACTGTTTATCCACTGAAAACGTAAGTGTAAATTATCAGCAGAATAAAGAATCAATAGTTGTACTGTCATATCATATTGATTTCATTATAAATAAATAAAGCCGTGATCGTAAGAGTTCAAGAGTTGTCTATCTGCTAGTGTAAACAAAAATTTAATAAATATAAGTTTTTGATGAGGTTTTAAAAGTTAGGTCTAAACAAACATTTGCAGGTAGTTTCTCAAACTTTAAATAGTTTTTCGATCTTAAGTAAATTACTCACCATCTATTTTTAATCATTTATCTTTATACAATACATATAAGTAGATATATTCTTTATTACCTTTAAAATTTGTTGATGACAGTTGCGTATTAGGGAAAAAAATATGTAATTATGTATATATATTATGTACACTTATCTACATTCACCTATTTTGGAATAAGTAAGTACTTATAGTATAATATTAACTTATTTCACACGGACTGAATTTGTCCACTAATGGTGGAAGTGCATAATATTTCTTGAAATATATTTGAGAAAATCTTTGCTTCACTTAAAATTATTGTAAAATTAATTCAGTTGAAGACCGAACAAAAAGTTGGTATAATTCTTATCTCGATGGCATTATGTATATATATATGGTCACTTCTTATTCAATTTGTACATACAGTAATACTTCACAAGATAAACCTCACAAATGGTGGCATGCTTGTACTCAGAGCGAATCAAGAAGCGATTCGTTAAGCGTGCTCTTTCCATTCTTTCAGAGAGCTCCGAGCACTCGCAGCATCCGAAGCCGAGTAAATTAACTTCTCTACAATTAAAACAACAAGACGTTGAATATTATCAAGATAGTGCACCAGATAGAACAGCTCATGAACCTCTTACTTTCATACTCGAATCAGAATCGAAACCGGACACTCATAAATCCGATGACCCAATAGAAGTTGAGATCATAGAAAATCCTAGCGGCACTGATCAACAAATACGCACTCCAAATAGTGAAGTTGTCTCAAATAATTATTATAAAAAGCCGCGAACGTCAAATGAAAACAGAAAGGAGAATTATTCGTACGCCAAAGCTTTTCCAGAGGAATACGTAGATTTAGAGAATTTCTTTCAACAAAGCGAACAGAGTTCTTGGGTACCCAAAAGCAGTAGTTGGTGGTAGGTAATCAAATATTAATTTATTTGTGTACTTTTATTTATTTGTCTGTTCTAATTATAGGTGTGTCTTATATATAAATTCAGGGAGCTTTATCATTAATAGCAATTTATAATAGCCTAAAGATGAGTAGACGAGCGATTTAAGGTCCAGTGATGAGTAAACTCCCTAACCATCTATAAGGAAGGCCTGAGCCCCTGCAGTGGGGACGTAAAAGGGCTGGTGATGATGAGTAAACTTACATAGATCGTTGCTAGTGGTTTGCTATGGAATTGCAACAAGTTTAGGTTCGTTCCATTGGCTATCAGTAATAAGGTAGCAAATGGTAGATTGTGCGAATTGCTGGATAAATTTAATGCATTTTGTTACTAGGATTGTTGATTATTTTATATTGTAAAATTTAAAATTTTATGGATATAGATCAGCGCTATGTTCATAAATTTTTCATAGTAGAACAGTAGACAGCATCATTCTTCTATTTATTCATGTAATACCTACTATTTGTGTTAAGACGTGTATGGATTATGTTATGCGGATTATCTTTGTATCAATTCGGATTATCTTTGAAGGTATAAGTAACCACCCAAATAAATTTGAAAATGAAAAACTACACCATATTTTTGAGGGTTCTGTTTGTCACAATCAAAACGTAAATTTATAAATTTATCTCAATAGAATAAAATCACAAAGTTGCGTAAAAAATTCTGTTGCGTAAAATTTAATACATTACACCATTTTTGTAGGGAAAATTGATTAATATGTGAGTTGCTTATTTAGTGCAGCTTAAAAAGTCTGCACTATTAATATAATGGTAACAGTTTGCGAGTAATTAACTGAACTATCACATTTCCGATTGTAATGGAAGTAGTCAGTATCGTTTTTGGCTTTAAGCTACCTCTTTCTACTACGCGCATCTTCGTTGATACGCGTACAACGTTATAGGTGTCTTACCATCAACAAAACTATTTTAATAATAATAATTTTTCTTTTGCGTTAATGTCATAAAAAAATAATTAATATTTATCACCAACGAAGATGAGCGTAGCATAAAGTGGGAGCGCAAAGCAATAAAATATACACTCGGCAATTAGACAAATAGGGATAGAGTATGACGAAATCTTAGACATTAAAACTTATCTTACTAAGTAATGTTATGAAGAAGTAAGATTTCATTGTTTGTTTGTTTGTATTTAGTACTCCTAAACAACTGGACTGATTTCAAAAATTCATTCACCTTTGCATGACCAATGTATGGAAAGCTAATGAGGAAATATTACAAAAAAAACATTAGTTCCCGAAATCAAACTAGATTTTGCTACGATACTTTCTGTTATTCTGTCATGTATAAAAATAAATTAATTTTCAAAACTCAATAAACAACTCATATTCTACTTGTACTTTTTCATATTTGTATTGATATCTAAGATGCGAACTTAGCAAATTTCAGTTTTTTTTATATGTTTTTAAAAGCAACGGAAATGATTATCTTTGGTCAAGTCGTTTCCATTAAAAATCTGCTTTTGGTAGAGTCGCCATCTAATGAGGTGCTTTTTTATTGCTTTTTTTTCTTAAAATACTTCCTCATTAGAAGCGAGTGATATAATTTATCAGCTCCGACAAAGACAAAGTTTTGCCGTCACTTTTTACAGAAATCAAAGCTGCACCACAAAAAAAAGCTCATGAAGCAGAAGAAGAAGAGGAAGAAGAAGAAGGTGACGAAGAAGAAGACGAAGACTGTGACGAGGAAAAATAAAAATAAAATATTATTGAAGTTTTAATGCCATCATAAGTTTTTTAGGAATAGTACCTATACAAATGTTAAGTTCTTTTTTATTAATTTTAATAAAATAATGTTTAAAGTTGATACATGTTTTATTAATTTTTTTGCTTTTTAGTCATCTCAAAGGAAATTTTGTACTATAGGACAACTTAGTTGTTTATCCTATATTTTCTTCGAAATTATTGGACGACTTGTATTGAAATTTAACTTATAAATTGGTTATCCAAAGGTGATCGTGTATCGTAAGTATTCAGAATGCCATACTATAAAATATTCTTAATAAGAAATGCTTAAAAATCCACTTTGTCCCTGGTACATAGAGATGAGATTCGTGACCTTTTGCAATCTTGTCAGTATGCGATGTCATGAATGCGAAAGGTCATGGATTCGAATCGAAAATGGGACCCTCATAATGATGGAGATCATAATGCTGGTATGCTTTCTACCTATCGACTTTTCATAATTTTCAAACATATCAGCTTTTGTAGAGTTAAAAAAAGCTCGTACCATTCTGATTGTTTCTTATTGGTTTCTAACATTTATGACGAGATGAAGAAACTAAATACGGAACCATCACGTTAGAATTCGGTGTAATAAAAAAATCGTTACGGAAAATCAAAATTTGTTTTTCTTTAATAAATTTTTGGTATATTAATTGAATATTTGATTTCTAATTACGTCAGTAATAACTTTTTTTAACTTTACAATGACGAGTACTTTTAGGTTAATCGTGATATTGGCGGAATTGTGTAAACGCAAATAGGCCATGAATTAAAAAAAAAAGAAGATGACAACTATTGTCAATATAACGTTGATTTATCAACCTTAGGAGTAGCTCGGTGGCGTAGTGGATAAGCGCCGCGGCCCACAATCGTTGTCGTTAAGCAACTTTCGCAATTGTCGGTCACGGGATGGGTGACCAAAAAAATATTATCTCATGCTACTCCGTGCTTCGGAAGGCACGTTAAGCCGTTGGTCCCGGCTGCATTTGCAGTCATTAATACCCTCTTATCCGCATTGGACTAGCGTGGAGGGTTATGGTCCGTCCTCCTTAACGATTCAAGGAAGGCTTGAGCCCCTGCAGTGGGGACGTAAAAAGGCTGATGATGATGATGATGATGATGATGATGATAATGATGATGATGATGATCAACCTTAGTTGAAATATACGTAGTATCTTCTTCTTAGTCTGTAGTTGAAATACTACACAGCTATATACCTCCCGAACAAATTTCATTAAGTTTAATAACAGTTTACATGGTCCGAAAACGGCTTTCAAGTGCTTACGACAAGGAGCGACATTATTATATAGATCACAAATTCATAGATTTGTATCAATACCACAACTATCTTTTCTTCAGTATGCTGATGATATTGTGTTGTATACATCTAATAAGAACTTATTACAAGCAGAATCAACTTTAAATGAAGCATTACGTCACTTTCATTCGTATTATAAAGTCTGTAAATATTGTATATAGTTCAGTAAATATTGCTAGTGTCCAAGAAAAAGTGTTCTCAGGTTTAGTGTTTGACACTAAACTTCATTTGGATCGTCATGTAAATAAAATTGTCTGTAAAATGCAAATGTCGCATTATATTTAATAATGCGACATTTAGCTAGTGTAACTTGGGGAACAGATCCTAAAATTTTGAATGTTGTATATAAAGCAATGGTTACAAGCCATTATCTATGCACTAGTAGCTTATGGAAATTATATTAATTCGATTTTGTTTCGTAAATTAGAAATCATAAAAACAGGGGACTGAGAATTATTACAAGAGCTATCTGTTCCACGTCTATAAACTCTCTAGAAATTGAAGCAGGCATACTTGCTATATATGTCAGATGTAAAAATAGACCATAAAGGTTAATTGTGATTTCAGTACAACAGAAATTCATTTGACTACTCCTAAATTTTGTCATGACAGAATTGTAAACAATATGGAGTTTATAGGATTCATAGACACTGAACAACCTTTATATCGAAAAATATACACAGAAGGTTCGAAGACAGGAGAAAATACGAAGGCTGCATATGATGACTCAAAAGCTAAATTCGGAAGATGTTTTAGTTTGGACATGAACTCATTTATATTATTTACAGCTGAAGCATATGCCTTTTATAACGCTCTGCAATATATCAGAGGAATCAGAGATAACAAATATTTTTTAATTATAACAGACTCAATTAGTGCCCTTATATGTCTGGAGAATGTATCTATTTCGTATAAAAATAACACATACATCACAGAAATCAGAGAGCTACTAGTAGAAAACCTAGACATAGAAATTGAGTTCTTATGGGTATCATCTCACTCGAGAATAACATGCAATGAAACTGTGGACAAACTTATGAAAATAGAATATCCAGTATCAAATAACAATCCTTATTTTTCACCTACAGTTCCGCTAATAGATTATAGTGCTCTTTTGAAGTGTCGAATGTATCATCATTGGCATGAAACGTGGGAAAACACAAAACTTTATAAAGGAAATTGGTATGCGAATATTGTGAGTTTTCAATGTCCAAAGATTGCTTCTAGTAGATGGCCTGAGGAAGATAGAAGAAGAAGGAAGATATAAAGACGAAGACATTCCCCGCGTCTTGCCATCGAAACTAGAATGAAGATATGTACCAATTTATTTACAAGCTTATAATTTCAGCTTTTGATATGATATGAAAACTTAATGCTGTGTAGAATTAAAAAGGATATTTTACTTTTGTAAAGAACAATAATGTACTAAATATGTGGCTGTATAGATGTTACCAAAGTCGTTAAACAATAAACAAAAAAAAAAGATTGTCTGTCAATGTCAATATGTTAATTGTCACTTGACATCGTGCGAGTGCGTGTGTTTCACGGTTTCGTAGAAGAAGTTTTTTGTAATAATTACATTTCGTCCCGAAAATATGCCCGAAATAAAAAAGAAAAGACATGTGTCGAAAAAAAATAAAAAAGACTGGCGTAAGCACTGTGATATTCGTGATGTAGAAGACTTTTTGGAAGATCAGCGATTGGAAGAAAGATTAGGGTGAGGTTATACTTTTGAAGATATTCCATTATTTTTAAAATTACACAGATATTGTTGTCAAAAGTGTGTTTCTCTTGAGAATACTATAATAATCTAATTATGGTTAATAAAAAATGCATTATATTTACTCTATTCATTTAAATTTTAGTGTGATCTGACAGGTTATAACCTACGTTGGCTACTACATTTTGCGTAGAGTTCATAAATATTATTTTTATCAGGAAATTTGACACAAAACCAGATAGCGAATTGTTCGTAATAGACACGCTTGGCAAGGATGAAGTCAAAGACGAAAAAGATGAAATTACTATTAAGCCACGAACAGCCAAGGAAAGAAAAAGGCTGCTGTTATCTGAAACCCCTAAGTGTTTCCAAATCCTTTTGCCTACATCTAAGGTATGTGCTTTTTTTAGATTATTAGGTTTATAAAATTGTTTTAATCCAGTTGACACCAAATCACAAAGCTTATATATAATTATGATGTAGATAGCATAAAATATTATTATCAAGCATTCTCTACCAGGTTTAAGTATTATTTCAAACATTTATATATCTGCTTAGGTTGAAGATCCAAATGCAAAACGTAATCATGTGAACCCAATTGGTGCCAAACCAACTGCTTTGAGTAAGATAACAGATATGAAAAGATTAAAGAAAGGTGTTTATGAAAAAAAAGTGGCAGTAGCTAGGAAAAATAGAAAAATGGCCCTGGACAAAAAGAAGAAAACTAAGCAGATCAGGAATACATTTGAATTGGATTTATGGGGTACAGACAGTAAGTCTAAATTAATTTCATTATGAATTTAACAAATTAATGAAGACACATTTCTATCTATTTAAGAGGTTGCAATTATGATCGATTTGATTGTGTTCAAGAGTAAGCATGATGATTTGCTGTTAGTTGTACTTTGATGAACTCTAACAGTGCAATTTTTATTTATGTAAATATTTTATTACTTACTTCTATATATATTTTATTTGCTAATGATTTAAGACTATTTCCTTGTAAACAGCATCCATGAGATATTTTTTTCCATACAGTATCATGCGATCAGTCGGGAGACTGAACAGATGTGTTGGTAGGAACGTATTGGACAGTGAGTTGTACATTGTGACATATAGAAAAGTCTCTCTTTATTTACTATTCAAGCTCTATCCAGTTCAAGAACATGCCATCTGTGCATAGCCACACGAGTAGTAAGCTGCACCACAAGTTTATTTGGATGATTTGAGAGTCTTGTCTTGTATTTCGTACAGTTCGATCTTTTGCTTGATGGTGTTAATATCCAAAAGTTCAATTTTTCTGAACCATGGGTCATTGGAGATTTGTTTCGGCATATCTTCCATAATTCCATAATTCCAGACAGGCTTTATAGGTTTGTAGATGATTGAATTGTTTTCCAGCAAGAGTTTTTTCCCCACATCTGAGGTTGATTTCATCTCATTTGGTTTGGTGTGATTTTTCCATGTCAGTCTCCTATCGAAATATAATCCTAGATATCAAGGTACGATTTTATGATTCCAAAATCAGTGTAGGCCAAGAGCTGTTTGCATAATAAACCTTTGTGCAAGGCTCTGTCAAATGCTTTTTGTGTGTTGAAGAATGCAAATGAACAGTATTCTTTCTGTTTCCTAAATCTCTCTATTCACGTGAACTAGTTCATCAATGCCATGTTGTTGCCTGAAGCCAAATTAGTAATTTGGTATTATGGACCCCTGTTAGTTCTACATCCATGAATTGGTACAAAAATTTGTTATCCCTTGATTTTGATATGTTATTGATACTAACAGATAATAAAAAATATGAAAAAAAATAGTAGTCACTGCTACCTATGTACAGCGCTGGACATATGTGTAAATGATCTTTAGAAGAATACCGATTATATATTTATGTATTTCAGCTCCAGAAGCGAAAGGCATTCCATCGACATTGTGTGATGAGTTTGTTCCACCTGAAGCACAGCTGCACAACGTCCTGCCGGAGAGACGTCTCCGTCCCAAACCTGCACCTCCTAAGACTGTTGTGAACAGAGCAGCAGTAGAATTACCACACCCTGGTGTCAGTTACAATCCTAGCTTTAAGGTAAAAATTTTTTTTATGAGAAAAAAAAACTAGATTTTATTAATGGACAATAATTATTCATTTCTTACATATAAGGGTAATCTCTCTCTCAAATGTAAGTGTAAATTGTGATTATATTTTTAATTGCAAAATTATTAATATTATTTTTACTTTTTGTGTCAAAATTTTTATTTTTGTCAAATGATTTATTTAATTAGTAACATTCTGACAGCACATTCGCTCACAACTAACATACTTGATTGGACCATATTGTACTCAAGTCTTGATAACAGTTCTGTCTATGTTGCCATTGAATAGTTAGTTCCATATAAAATTATTTCTGTACTTACATTAGGGAGATATACATATAAATCTACAGCGAATGTCTAAATTCGAGATGTGCCGAATAGTGGTTTCACCTAATAACTGAATACAGAATAGTATTCAGTTCACCTTTTACCAAACCGGATATTCGGCGGAATTATTCAATTTACCATTTCATTTTTTTATTTAGTCAGTGTTTCTTGGTAGTATAGCGTGTCTATAGTGATTATTTCGGGGGCAAGAAACCTATATGACGAAATTCGCAACAGACTATTACTGATGAGGGCCGAGAGCTTGGTATCTCTGCACTATAATTTACAACCATATTTTTTTATAAATATTAGCATATTATCTATGTTTCTTTTTGCTTATCTTTTATTTTATTTCTAATCTCTTTTATATTATTAATATTTCTCTATGTATTTCTGTCAAACTGTCTTATTTTTGTCAATATGCCTTTTATGTATTCATTAACAATTTAAAATGTCTATTTGAAGTTTATAAAATAAATATTTATGATTTCATAGGATTTCCTTGATTTGGAATAGACGTAAAACAAAACAAAACAAAAGAAGTTTTAACTTTAGTTCTATTCCGTGTTGTGTAGCCAAGACAATATAAGTAATCGAACTGACTTTTCGGCTGAATACAAGTAGTGAAAAGGTGCCGAATACCGAATATCAAACGTATATTCGGCGCATCCCTAGTCTAAATACTGGATCTACCTAGTATTCTGTAAACTAAATGTTTTACAAATTAATTTAAAAAAGTTTTTTTAGTCTATTAAACATAAGAAGTCTAAATGCATGTATGTGACGTGTTCTGCTATTCTTTTTTCTATTTCATAATTAACCTAACCCTAATGCTTGATACATTTTTAGGAACATCAAGAATTGCTTCAAGAAGTTGTTCAACACGAACAAAAGATGATGAAGCGTGAGACGCATCTGAATCGTGTCACTACGGGAATGTTCAGGAAAGTTACGCTGCAAGAGAGGGAGGTAAATATTAAGCTGTTTTTGTTGTTTATAAATCGTTAAATATGGTATTCAATATTTTATTTATTTATTTTGTCATAATTTCAGTATTTTATAACTTTCATATGATCATACCAATTCATCGCAAAAAAAATAATCTGGTTGTATTCGCAAAAAGATTTAGTTAAGTTTATTGAAATGTGACGTCACACGGGGGTCCGTTAGTAAATATATAACTAGCAAGTAGATAAAAGAAAAATATATTATTTTATACTAAAATACTTGTTAATGTTTACATATAAGTTATCATTTACAACATATATATATTTTTAATTATTGTTATAAGTAGCCAATTAATTAAATACCACTTAAAATTAATTTTAAATGCAACAGCAGCAGCAACATCAGTATTAAATAAAATAGTCATGATAACACCTCCCTATCAACGTTAGTTGGTATAGTGTCGTCCAAACGCACATTACTGCCTGTACTACCGTACTTATCACTTGATAACTAACAATATATTCTTAACCCAAATCCTAACAATATGTTTAGAATCAATGGCGTGAAGAGATGAGCGTAGGACTCCCTCAACCGCATAATCCCGCTAACGACCAAGAGTCAGAGTCGGACAGTGAATATAAACCAATCAATCCACCTGTGAAGAACAAGAAGAAAGATCACAAAACCCGTAGGAGACAGAAAGAGATGCTGGCAGAAAAAGAACGATTGAAGCGACTCAAAATTGAAAAGAAGAAGATCACTGATCTATACAAGTGAGTTATATATTTTATTCATTAATTTGGTGTATGGTTGGTTGAATGTACGCGATTGATTTTCGGTCATTTCATATTTGTGAGTTGTGACGTTTCGCAAAGGACGATGCGATGCTTCTTTCGTCAGATATGCACCATACCATAATTCGAGCTAATTTTGGTACCTTATTTGTGCACTAGATGGCATTGTTTATGTAATAAGGCAACATGTTTACCTTATTCATGCTTTTGAATGCACATCCATAGGGATGACGACTAATTTTTGTTTGTCCGTCAGGTAGATTGTTGATAAATATTAAAATTCGTTTTTTTTAATTTTTCGTAATCGTTAAATTACGGCCATCACTACTTAACAGTGGCCTCTAGCAGAAAAATATTTGAAACGCCATCTTGTGTCACGAAATGAAGTGTATAACATATATATTGTTTAAAATTGTCAGCAAGAAAATTAAATAGTTTATGGTTGTACTTAGTAAAATTGATTAAAAAAAGGTTAAAAATATTTATTTTATTTAATACAGACTGCGAAAGCTGGAATCATCCTTATCTGAAGTGGATAAACGTCAAGCGAAAGAACGTGAAGCTCGAGCTTTGAAACGTGCCGTAGTAGAGGCGACCGCTCTACCCGCACTAAACGCACACAAAACGCCTAAACAAGAACCTGAATATGTCGATCCGGACCAACTCACCGGAGACTTGAGACAGATCAAAACTAAAGGTAACTTAACACTTTATTGTTTTATGGCGGGTTCACTTTGATTGAATCTGATGTCAATTAAGAACTGCAAAGCGGTCATGGAAACTTTATAATTAATATGGCTTCTGACATCATTCCCGATGACACTATAAATTTGATCACGAAGGTGTCTTACACTCAGTTGTACAAACGTCTTAAAATTATCATTATAGTTGTACAGATGATAAAAAAATTTAAAAGTGATATTACCAATACAAACTTTATATTTTAAGTTTTCTAAATTAGAAAATTACAAAGTTTCTGTGATCACCTTCTGATTCTACATACACATCGATTTCCTTGACATCGGATTCAATCATAATACTCTCAACTTTAATACAGTGTATCTAACAATTAAGTGTATGCTGTCTCTATTGTTAGATACACTGTGTACGTTTCATAGATGGTATAAAAAATCTCAATGTTATCTATTAATTGGACCCACTGTCTATTAATTCGAAGTCAATGAAATAGGCAGAAAGCCTGGATAGTAATTTAAATCAGAATCGGCTACTGTTTAAGGTCTAAAATCGATGGGAGAATTTTAGAAATCGATGGGGTTAGCGACATAGAGTTCCGTACAACCAAACGCCCTATATTACCCATATACTTAGCCAAATTACCCATAAAGGTCGATTAACAAATTTGAAAGTCTGTTTCGATAAAAAAAGTAATAAATTTGATTTGATTTGCGAGGTTAACAAAAATAGCTATTGAACCAAATCTCCGTTTAATTTTCAGCGAATTTGCTTCGCGATCGTTATGAATCGCTACAGCGTAGAGGAGCGTTAGCCGCCGCCAAACTAATGATGAAGAAAAAGAAGAAACTCAAGAGCTACTTCAAGCCCGGACACAAAGTGACCGATCAGGACGTCGAGCGGTACGTGAATAGAACAGCAGGAAAAAAGTGACCTTAGAACTGGGTATATAAGGTTCAATTTTGCATATAAATAAATATATTATTAAAGTAATTTTTTCGAGTTTTTCATTTTATATCTCGTCTCGTGTTTATGTACGAATTATAAAGAAATGGATTATGTTTATAGTGCGTTAAATCATCTTTGTCTACAAAATAAAAGAATAGTTATTTTTTAAATTTTATTGTAAAAAAACCTTAATTTTATTTATATTACAACTAAATATAGTCTACTTACAAGTACATTACGGCGTAATTGTGGCAGTTTACGATATGATAACAGTATATAAATCTATGAGTAAAATTAACATAGGTAACTCAGTAGGTTTCAGGGCGATTTTTTCCTAATGGAAAAATAATATTAAAAATATAGATATATTAAGTTAATTCTACTTATACATATAGTCTCTTATACATGTTCAATAACAAAACGCAATAAGTTAACTAGGTAAGACCGACGTACATGATTGTATGAATTTGTACAGGTACTTTCATCAGTGAAATGTTTTTTTATTTTACTAAATAAATGAATGAAAAATCATGTAACATTGGTCTAAAATGATTATAAAGATTTTCAATAGCTTTGTACATTGAAAATTACGATGATTTAAAAGGCGTGTAGACGATTAGATTTGTTTGTCAAAATTTAATTATTTAATAACGTAAGGGGCCGTCCATAATTACCTCACACAAAATTCATGATTTTTAACCCCCCCCCCCCCCCCTACTCCTGTCACCTTTTTGTCTATAAAAATTCTACTAAATATTGTTTTAATGTTACAGTTCGTCGATAACCCCCCCCCCCCCCCCCCTTCCTTACTGTGACGTTATTTTCTGGATGGCCCTTAAGCGGCCAAACGAAATTCGTTTTATGATGAACAATTTTATAATAAAAATGCAAAACAAATTCTTAATTCGTAGTTATTACAGTTGCATTTAAGTTGCTTCAGTTATTAAGACATTCAATTATTTCAAACCAATTTTGTTTAAAAAAATATTTTTCAGCAAGCATTATATAAAAAAACCTGCCATATAATCAGAATGAATAAAAATTAACATTTTGCCAAACTATTTAAACGCCTAAATGGTGCTTTGCACATTTTGAAGGTAAGCAAGCACCAAATGGAAATATCTATCTACAAAGATCACATAATATTTCTATATTTTGTCTTTCTAATCGGGAATTGTTTGTTGAATAAATTAATTGTCAATGAGAATACTATTTAAGAATGATTGTGTTGTAGTTAAATATAACAGTCAAACAATTCCTAATTAGGAATACAAAAACCTATTACTTCTATAATTTCATTACTCAAATTTCAACCCCATCGCGCTGCGATTGTGTACAGCGATCTTAACAACTCTAAAGCTCTTGTATCGGATGTTCCTTTTAAATCTAGTTCTGAAGATGCCTTCCTTGCTTCTGCTCTCGGGCTATCGATATATTGGGTAGTAGTTGCTTGGGGTTCTACTGTTGTTCTCACGAAGAATTTCTTCGCCCCTCTTCGGTTGTGTTGTGTTGTCCTACTAGGTAATGTTGTAGTTTCAATTATAGCTTCTGTTGTACTCCGTACAGAATCTGTTGTAGGTCTTACAGATTCAACTGTAGATGTAGGATTCGATAGCGAATTAACAGCGCTAGCTTCGAAATTCAAGCTTTTACCTCTTCTTTCACTGTGACGAGCCCTTTCTTCTTGTCTTTCCTCATACCTGCTTGTCTCTGTTTGTCTGTATTCAGTTGATTTGGCGTATTCATAATCTGTTGTTGTTGTTGTTGGTATTTCAGTTTGCTGTTCTTCCTCTTTCGCGATTTCCTCCATATCCTTTTGTGATACCGCCATGAGTGCTTCCAACAATGCTTTCTTTGATGCCTCAGCTGTTGTATTGTGGTCATCGTCGCAAGTTTGAACTAACAAAAGTATCAACCTCCTGACCGTTTTAGATTTAGTTTTTTTCATAACGTTCATAAGCTTTTCAGTAGTTGTGGCATTCATACCTCCCATAATTTCCTTGGCCTTTTCTACTACAGTATCAGTGATGGCGTTGAAATCTTGTGAAGGTTCCGTAGAGGTACGCTCTTTTAAAAACCTTGCAAACCTTTCATCGTTAAAGTTGTTGCCAGGGGAAGAGATATCAATATTAATAGCTGTTGAAGATACCGACTGTTCGCTTGTTGCCGTATACTCAGTTGTAGGTACAGCAGTTGTACTGGCTGCCCATGAATTCGTTTGCTTAGCAATTTCTTCGGGTCCTGAGGGACTTAATCCATCGTTAAGTGTAATGGGATCGATTATTGTACTATGCCACGATTCAAAAGTACTTGGCCATTGGAATTGGTTTGTAGTTTTATCATTGTCAGGCGAGGTAAATACACTGCTAGATATTGGAGATACAGTTGTAGTTGGGTGTGATTCTTCAATTTTTAATGTGATGGTTGGTTGAGCCGTGGTTTGTGCGGTAGTACTTTCGCTGTCAGGTAATGTTGGTGCTTCGAGATCTTCGGAGGGTTTTCTGACCGTTTCATTAGAGGACTCGAACTGCAACTGTTTTCCTTGTCGCAGGCTGTTACCTTGAGGACCAATAAAAGACTGACTGTGCGCTCTTTGTAATTCTTCTTCGTTTTCTAATTCTACGCTATCAGTGTCAGTGAAGTATATGGCAGTGGTTTCAGGTATAACAGTAGTTGTCCTGATTTTCTTACTTTCAAAAATGTTAACTGGAGTTGCTATTGTAGATGTAACTGTTGATTCAGAAGCGTCAACACCCCATGCGGTAGGTAAATTTGTTGCTTCGATGTATTCATTTAATGGTTGAGACTTAGGCTGATTTATATCATTTCCGTAAGGTGAATCATTAACGGAAAGTGTGTTATTTTGGAATCCTCCATAATTAGATAATGCGTAGCTATTTTCAGTGGTAGCAACAATTTTATTACTGATGGTATTGGATAGTGTATTAACTTTAGCTGAAACTGTATTAGTGTATGGTAAAGGTGTTGTGATAACTATTGGGGTAGATGGAGAAGTGTAAGATGCAGATATTCTACCACAGCATCGGAATGGACTACGAGGTGTAACACTTGAGTATGATGCAGGAATACTTTCAGTAGTACGCGGACTTGGAGTAGTAGTTGTTTGTTCCGCTACAGATGAATACTCCGTACCTATATTTAATGTTTTAGAATCTCTCAAAGAAGCCAAAGAAGGTCTAGATTTAATATCATCAGAGAAACCTAATATCTCTTCATCCTCTTCATTAACCGTTGTTGTAGGCTCTGTATTGAAATATTCATCAGTTGATGCCGTATCGGTAAAAGACGGATGAGTAGGTCTTATGTCAGATAGTACTTTTCTAAATTGCACTGGGTCCTGCAAATATGCTGATAGAGCATGAGTGAAAACTTGGGCGAGTTCTCTTATTTGAGGTGATGTAGCAAGTGGGTTTTGACTTTGTTGAACGCTCAGATCATCAACAAGTTCGTTATATGTTCCGTTCGGGTCTAATTTAAGGTCTTCTAGTAATTCACCATTGTCAGTTCCATGGCCAAAAAGACTGCTGTATTTATTAATCGTATGACGGCTAAAGAGACCAGGGAGTTCATCGTCAATTGGTTCGTATTCATCGAAAGCTGACGTTGTTGTTTCGGTTTCTTCAGTTTCTGGGGTAGCGTTTGTTGATAGGTTATCCAAAGCTGTAGCATAGTAAATAGCTAGGCTATGAAGAGTTTTTGGGGTCAGAGAAGGAGGCACAACAAGCCCTGGTCTATTTGGTAAGTCTCCATAATATTTTTCTGTAGGTGTTGGTTCAGTAACTGGCGTTGATCCAAATGTGCCTAAGTTTAACTTACGGATCAATCTTTCCCTTCTTTCTTGATAAGGTTCCGTGGTGATTTGAGTTACTTCACTAGTGTAAGATTCTAATCTATCAGAAGATGTCTTTTCTGTTGCAAACGAGTGTTGGCTGATTGTGGTTTGAGGTATTTTAGTTGCTGATTCAAATGAATTTGCCTCGATTGTTATTTTTCTTTCTGGTTCCTCCTTCGCCTCATCTCGATCACTTCTAGGAGTGGCGTGAGAGATTTTCTCCGTCGATGTAATTAGAGTTTTATTTTTTTCTTTTTCAAGAAAATCCTTTAGCAGTGATACACCAGGTCTAGTATAAGGATCGCGTCTGTTTTGAGCTGCCGTCGTATAAGGTTTGTAATAGGGTATGAGAGTTGATCGTTTAGTACTTGTTTCTTCTGCTTTATACTGGATTTGTTCCAAATGTCTATCACGGAAGTTATATAATGTTGTCAAATTACTTTTCGGTTTTTGAGGTCTGGTTGGTAGATTTGGTGTGTAGACTGGGTATGGTCGGAAATTCTTGCTGTTGAAATCTTGTAAAAACTGCCTGTTGTTTTTGTTAGCTGCGAACGATGCGCTTTCTGCAACAACTTGCATTTCTCTTACGTTACTATAATCGACAGAAGGAGCTGCGGTTGTCGGTTTATAGACAGGTCCTTCTGAATATGTCGGTAAGGTAGATTTAATTGGTGTATTGCCGAAGTTATTGGATATGAGTTGTACTAGGTTCTTTCTTCTTTTTTCAAAAGCAGTTGTTGCTATCGTTCTTTGTGTTGGATTATAGACGGGTGTTTCAAAAAGAGTTTGGAAGCTTCTTGCTGTTGCTTTTGCGTTGCTAAGTTGAGCATCACCTTGGAGTCTTTGCCTGTGTCTTAGAAACCTTTCCGTGGTGCTTGGTACATTAACAGAGCTTCTTCTGGATTCTGCGCGAACGTTGGTGTCTGTGCCGATTTGTTGGAGATCAGGGTTTTTGGTTAAGCCTTGTGTGATCTTTTGTGTTTTCTTTTGTTCATTGGAGTAGTACTCAGCGCTTGATTCGTATAGTGCGGGGGCCGAAGCGCAGTCCACCTTGAACCACCAGTCACAGATAAGGTGGGACTGGCTGAAGATGGTACCGTTTGGACACAGGAAAGAGATTTTACGTGATGTGTCGCAGATGTGGAAAACCTGAAAGAAAAATGAATATTTATTTTAATCACAGTATTTATGGAAATATCAGTAAGCCTGTTTAGAATATAAAATACATATGACTATAAAATGGTATCCTGCCTTTTCGCCGCAAATTATTTGGCCGATAATCACTTGCCAACCAATTAGACGTATTATGTTTCATCTGTGTATCAGTTCCCTTTTATATAAATAATATAAAGATAAACTACTTTATACATTAATATTTTTAAAAAACTTTGTTTTAAATTGGCAGCAATGTACCTACATACACAATTTTTTCTCTGTATAGGTAGATTTGGTGAACAATAAAAAACTTATTGAAAATTACGCTCACTAAAACATTTTTTTTTAAAGTGTCATAAACCAGCAGACTCCACTTACAGTTTGTAACGTTGTGAGGTTGGGAAATAAAACAAAATATGATAAGATGGCATATGATTATCGGACGAAATAAAATTCTGCGAAACGTATGTTGCTAATTGATATAATCGTCCAAAAAATTTTCGGCGAAAATGCAAAAAATTCCTGTAGAACAACAATTTTGAGTTAATTAATCAAAAAGTACCTGGCAATCTGTCTCCAAGTCAGCGTAATATCCAGTTGGCACATTCTTGCAGTTAAACCCTGTGTTTGGTATATTTGGATACGCCGGGAAGTCCAGACCAGCTTTGCCAATCACACCTGAAATGATGAAGGTCAAATTTTATTCTTTGTACCCCACTCAATGCTAAATCTGTACTTTTTAGTACATAGTGAAAACATAAGAAGTTCTTAATGAAAAAGGCTTTAAAAATCCACTTTAAGAAAAAGAATTTTCTGTATAGCATTGTGAATTTTTTTTTTTAACAAATATATTCTTACATAAGAAGTTTTTATGAAATTCATTCTGATGCATTTGTACAAGGGATTAAAACTGAAATTTCGTCGGCAAAGAGCCAAGTTGTTAATATATTATAAGAAAGAGAATACATCCCAGGACGCTACCCTGTAGAATGGATCCAGACACATGGATACTGTCAGACCTAGATTTTAAAATTTTTCCAGTTTGGAAGTCGGTATTTTCAATTTCCACATATTGTAAGCGGCCATGGAGATATGATTTAAACCACCTGTGAGCTATTCCTCTAATTCCTGTTTGATAAAGCTTATCCAGTAGAATTGTGTAACGAACTCTTTAGTAGGCTTTACTCATATGGATATGGAGGAGAATGGGTGTAAACTTTAGAATTACCTTGGTGCTCCACGATGTCAAGGTCGGGCTGGCTGTCAGCAGGTATAAGCCGCTTGACGAGTGCTCTACCCTCCGTGTAGTGCTCGAACCCAGCTGCTCCCATCGCTTGAGCGATCGCTTGTATGCTCTCTGCGCTCGGCGTTGGGACGTACAGCTCGGCTGAACGTGACGTGTCCTAGATAACATTATATATAATGAATATTTAAAATTGCTGATAAAGCGGTCAGCTTAATATAAACATCAAGTGAAATAACTATTTTATTACAATATTTTTCATTCTAATTGATAGTATCTAAAGAATAGGTAAGATGATGAACCTAATAGAAAAATATTAGATATGTATATTTTTTTGTTTTAATTTCAAAGTTGAGGAGTGAGAGCTTGCGACGTCAGAATGTACAACATGCGTCATGACGTTCCATCGTTGTAAAAAATAAGTGTTTTATATTCTTCAATACTCTGCCTCACGAACATACCAAAAAAATAATCATCACCCCAATTATCATTAGTTACCTTTCGACGTTGTGCCTGGCGACGTGTCCCGTCACACATGTCTGAAAAAGATGAATATAAATAAATAAAATAAAAAAAGAAAATGAAAGTCAGTCAATAATTGGCGGAAACTCGGTAAACATACATAAAAAAATACATCGCCGAATATATAACCTCCTCCTTTTGGATTTTGAAGTCGGTTAAAAATAAACAACAGATCTTCGGACTTCCAATTCGCTCTCTCCTCTACAATAAGGGTTCTGTTGAAGCCGCTTTATGGCTTTATTTTTCTTATTTATTTTTTTTCTAAATTATATTTCGACTTCCCTATGAGTGCACCACTAAAGGAATATCTGGTGTACTTTCGGGGGCCTGCTGTTCTGCGTCGCCGCCGCGGACGCTAACGAACTACGAAGGAGGTTGCATTACGTACGCAAACTCACCACTGGCCGCATAGACGCCACGACGGTATAAAAAGAAGAAAATTTCTTCTGTCATTCGCTTTTTGTCTTTCGCAACAACGCATATTTACCAGCCGCATGAATGATATATAAAATTTCCCGTAATATACATCCAAGACTGAATACGAAAATAATTGTGGACGGTACGGCAGTGACTGTTCGTGTCCAGGTGGCGTACATCAGTTCGGTAAGTACTCTCGATTTTATATCAGAGTTCCATCGGGTGTGCTCTAAGGATAATCTCTTTCTATATTTTTTTTCTTTCGCTTTTTTCTCTTTAACAATTATTAATAACCGCATACGATTTAGATCCCGCGTGAGGTCTCGGCGCCGCCTCACCAGGTTCCGTTATCTTCTGCGGTACGGAAAGTAAATTTAGGTACTAAAACACCAAAGGAGGTCGTCACTATATGACCTCCTTATTCAAGCGGCGAGTACGTCGCCGGTGTCATGGTGTCGCGATCAATATAAGAAAGGATTTTTTTCTATATTGTCTCGAATCAGGTGTTGTGATGCCTTCGTATTTTCCGATAGATATAGATTATGACTTTAGCTATTTATTTTGAAATCTGAACACGGTATGTGATATTGTCTAATATTAATGAACTATGGAAACTACTACTGGCTGTTATCCAAAGTCTATTAATGTCCCTCCAGCTGGGGCACAGACCTTCGCCATGGATGGAATAGGGAGAATGAGTAGTGCTCCACTATGCGGGCTAAGTGCGGGTTGATGGGTGTAAACGACTACAGATGCAGCCGGGACCAACGGCTAATGTCACTTTCGAAGCACAGAATGAGATGGTAAATTTTTGGTCACCCATCCTATGACCGGCCCTTACGAAAGTTGCTTAACTTCCATATCGCAGACCAAACGCGCTAGTATCAGTAGATTATACTAAATAAATAATATCTAAATGAACTAATTAATTCGATTAAAGAAAATCATCAAAGCTGCCTATTGAAATCAATACCAGTAACATACCACACTCAAGCGTACCTTTCTAAATCAAATAGATTATCGTTTTGAATTACAAAAGCTTTACATTATGAATATATAACAACAATAGCATATGTACCTGTTCTTACTTTCTACTTGATCTATTGTATGATGTAACTAGTTCGTAGAATATTGAATCGATTGATTTGCTTAATAAAAGATTGGAAATTACATGGGCATGGTACTTGTTTATTAGATTATAATATGAATGACTATCCGTAGGTGTAGGTAATTCTATTGGACTATTTGTATGTTTGATTTTTTTTAAATGTCGTATTATTTGTTACTTAATTTTAGTACTTACAAATTATTATGTACCCATAGATAATGTTTATCCTTACGTCCAAACTTACGCTGTTTTTCTGTGATGTCACCCGCGTATAAGATTTAAGCTTTTTAGAATCAGTCTTATACTTTCTTAACTGTTTTATAATATTAGTACATAGGTAATAGACATATTGATCACGTTAAAAATAAAAGTGAAATATTTATCTCGTGCGAGTCTGCCGAAAGTGAGTTGCTCGATGGCGTAGAGGCCCGCAATCGTTGTTGTTAAGCAACTTTCGCAAGGGTCGGTCACGGGATGGGTGACCAAAAATATTATCTCGAGCTACTTCGTGCTTCGGAAGGCACGTTTAACCGTTAATGCTCTCTAATCCGCATCGGGCCCGCGTGGGGGGTCATGGCCTATCCTCCTTAACCATTCATGAGGAAGGCCTGGGCCCGTGCAGTGGGGATGTAATAGGGCTGATGATAATGATGAAGTCTGCCGACGTGAAATTTTGTTTTCAAAATAGCAGCTCATCAAATACACTTATTTAACCTTTAAAAGGTTACGTATTTAAGACAGCGTATTACAGATTTAGCGTACATACATTAAATTAATTGTTCCAATTTACGAAAACAGTGATCTCATCTTGTAAACTTTAAAACCAGATTAAAAGTTACCACCATTAAAAACCATTCATTCTCAAGACTATTAGGTAAGGTTACATAATTAAAGTATATCTATCTATTGTCTATACTTTTTTTTTTATTCTAATAATTAAGATAAAATCTTCCATCATAAAGTCAATGATAGCGTAGACACTAGATTGATCTGTACAAAAGCGATTTTAAGATTTTTTTAGGAAGTGGATAGAACACTAATAAAAAGTTTTTAATTTTAAGGAATAAGAAACGAGGGCAAGATGGAAGGAGTCTGCAAATTGGAAACTTCTTATAATAAATACATGTGATCTTTAGCGGGTGCTGCTACACATAGAGAAACATGTAGCTGAGTGTGATTTACGACAATTTTAACTCCGATTCACACCAGTCAGTAAAATGTACAAGCTATGTGTTCCTTTGATAGTAAAAAAGTAAGATTTCTTTACTTTGATTGATTAAATTATGTAAAAATAAGACTTTGCTTTGTGAGTAAATATGTACTGCAAATCGATTGTACAGATTGATATAATAACCAAAGCAAAATATTCGTGAAGCTACAAATATATTTATAATACCAGCGTATGGGCAAGATGAAAATTTGAAGTTGAGGGCAAAATGGAAAGAAGGATAAAAAAAAGAAAGTTATCACAAATAACAAATAACTACTGCAAAAACAAAGGGACATAATCAAGGAAGGGGAGAACAGAAAATAAGAAAGAAAGGTAAAAAAAATCTCAGTTTCCCGAAGGATAACACGAAAAATTGGCTATAGAAGAGTGCTTAGGATGTCTGTCGTATACTTAAATTTGTGTTATATCTATATTCCAAATTTCCTTCAAACTTCTTTCTTGCCCTCTAGATGGGGCAAAATGGAATTTCTTAGGATTTTTTACGAGTTATAACTCATTTTTACTAGAATATAGTTTTTGTTAAATATAAATTTGTTTACATTATTTAATTACCTCTAAAAGCAATTTAAATAAGATATTTATATCAAGTACATTTCTATTTATAACTACATAAAATTAGGCCTTCCATCTTGCATTCCTTTCTTTTCGCATCTTATTAAGTATTTTATAGAAATGTTGAAATTGTCAAAAAAAGTATTTAAAATTAAGGTAAATATCAACACATTTCATTGTTTCTCGCATTATTACTACGATTATAGAAACTGCGAACTGCGAGACCAATATGTAGCGAGTTTGTCGGGTGGAACGATTTTTATGCTATATCAGAACTGCAGATTTTTATCCGGTTTCTGAATTGAGAATTTAAAGTTAAGCACGTCTCAAACTGTACTTGAACGTCACTTAAATGTTTGAAACAAAGACAAATTGTCGTAGTATACTAAATCAAGAGTACGAAACATCACAATCGCAATGCCGATCGATAGTTCGTTCAAGAGTAAGCATGCTGGTCGTGGATTCGCTTGGCTTATTTCAAGTTTGAGTTTTTTTTCAATAAATAATTGAGGAAGCTATTTCAGTATTCCATGTTAGGGATTGTGTATTAGTATCCCTATTTGGATTCTTTCGTCTACTTTGCTGAAAGAACTTAAAAAATTTAGAACCGACTTCAACCTTAAAAAAAGTATTATTTTTTACTTTTTTAAGTTTGAAGCCGCTGCTATTTTTTTAAAGTTTTTATATCATTTAGTGATATTGATATTTTTTATATAATAAGTAACACTAAAGATACTCTCCTAAAAACTGCGTCAAAATCGGCTCAGCCAAACGCGAGATAATTGTGGAGAATACAAAACACATGTTAAAGTGCGAACCTCCATTTTTTGTCGGTTAATACAAAAACCTCCTAAGTCTGAAAAAGACTAAGCTGAAAACCGTATCAAAATTGGTTCAACCAAACGCGAGATAATCGCGCACAAACATACATACAGATCACACTGAGAACCTAGTTTTTTAAGTCGGTTAAAAAGTAAAAAAAAATACGCCAGTCGCTGCTAACACAATGTAGAATCAGTGCTTTAACTGTTGAAAAAAGCTAGTGATTAGACATTATAATCATTAAATCATCAGTGACCCGCCGACACAGTTTGATAAAGATAACAAATAATTAATGGTTGCATCGCGTTGCGCAAACGCAGCTTTCTAGCGGTCGTGAGAAGAGCTCATCTGATACCATGCGAATAATAAAATTGCTGCCTGAGGCTACCTCCGATTGTTGGGCGAGGAATCTAAAGGATTTTTGTAAACCTTGGAAGGTTAATACTGGTCTATTATGAATGTTGTTGGTCTATTGTTGAATTCATGAAGCTGGTGCTTGAAACATACTGTGAAGAAATA